GTTCTGTGGATTTGCCCATATGGGGCAAAGGGCTATAGCCTGATAAGTATGGATATATATTCATTTAATATAAATTTAAATAAATTTTAATTAAATACATATTCATGCAAATGAAAATTGTAGTAGAGTTTTAGTCGAAATATGTTGTTTCATACACTACCGCCCACGAGTATCAGGACGATTACAGACGACTCTATGAAAAAACATGCCATCACTTTTTCCATCATATCTCGGAAATAAAAGGAGGTACAAAAAAAACTTAAATACGGTTAGAAAGCTGAAAATTCTGCGTAAAATAAGCAGGCTTCTCACTCCTCTACTATTTACTACTTTTTCTACTTTTTTAATAAAAGGCTACTTTTTGGCTACTTTTTTAAGTAAAATGCTACTAAAAGCTACTTTTTCAAGAAATTATGAGTCGAAATTTTTTTTAATAAGTTTCTGAAAAATATTTTTCTGAAATATACATATTTTAATAACAGATTTACAGTTTTCCGTCGTTTAAAGCTCAGTGCACAATACATTCGGGAATATCGTTCACGAAAGTGAAACATGAAATAGAAAAAAATTCAAATAATTATATACCTATCTATCTTTTTGTTTCATGCTTTGCGTATTTCGAAAATATCTATTCTGTGTTAGCCTTATAGAAATTATTTCCCCATTGGTCATTCTGTTGTATCATTATTACCAACCAATCAGAAACCGTTGATTTTTTGTTGAAGTTAGAAGCTTCCCACCCTTGGATTTTTTGGTTATGTTTTTAAATGTCCATCGTAAAAACGAAACATACAATATACACAGCATTATTAACACCATTCTTTTCAATTATTAATTGTGTTAAAAAGTTATAAAGTGAATATCGATTTATTTCTTGATTGATATTTTTCTCCCTCTTTAATTTAATCATTATAAGGTAAGTTACGAGTAGACGCAACCTTATTTTTCAATATAAGTTTTAATCATAAAAAACCATTTTAAGCATTTCTATGTCACATTGTTTTTATTTTATCACATATATTATTAGTAGGTATGTTTTCGTTCTTTAATTAATTTGTTTAAAACAATAAATTTTTAAAGTGTAAGTTGTGATAAAGTATAGTCAATTATGAATTGATTATGCTATTCTTTGATTATGTAAAAAAATGTTTGTTTTCGGAAAAGTTGTTATAAAACTAAAAAACATTAAATATTTTTTTAATTAAGTACTAAATTAAACTTATTTATAAAAACGATTATATTTCTGTTTTTTAGATCATCAGAAAATATAAGAGGAATTGGATATTCAACATATCTTAAAAAGATGTGAAAAAAATCTTAAATATGATCGGAATCTCAGTTTTAAATAACATATTGTGATTAAATGTTTTGTTGAAAAATTGGCTGTGTTTTGAAAAATAATTTAAAACTAAATTTCGATTAATTTTGTATACATAATGGGTGGCTATAATTTCCAAACAAATTGGTTGAAACGTATTGACAATTTAGGCTACGAAATCGGACTAAGTGCAATGAAAAAGAAAATAATGTATTTTGCACAATCTGCAGGAAAAGTTTTTCTTATGCAAATAAGGGTATCCAAGATATCCTTCAGCATTCTGGAACTGCAATTCATACAAAGAACGCTTCAGACAAATTTCATAATAACCAATTAAAGTTTCAAACACCTGCTTTGCCTAGGAATGGAGAATCTTTGGAAAATCCACTTTCATTACAAGTTGTGCGTGATACATCATTGAGAGCTGAAATCATTTGGGTAATTAAGAATGTACATTGCAATATGTCTGCAAATTCTTGCGATGATTTGGAGCAAACTTTTCAATTAATGTTTCCTGATTCACAAATAGCGAAAAAATTCTCACTTGGCCCTACAAAATTTAAATATCTACTTACCGAAGCGTTGGCATTGTATTATGAAAAGAATTTAATTGAAGATGTAAAAAAGCGACGGGTTCGTTTTATCATATGATGAGACAACCAATTCCGAGGGCAAAAAAGAGCTGCAGATTCGTTTGCGTTATTTTTCACACCAGAATTGCAAAGTAATTGATACCAATTGAAAAATTATTAATGTTGGGTTCGGATGGCCCTAATATTTTCTGAAATTCTTACCGATAAAGTCAGGTGTTAAGTCGACTTTATTTTCAAGTGTCAGATACACTTCTATTTGTAATTAATTAAAACAGAATGATATGCAAATGCAGTTAAAGTTTGTCGCAGGTAGTGCCGAGTTGTTTGAGAATTTTTCGCAATTGTTTCAAAAAGAGGAACCTCATATTCATATTCTCTTTGAAAGTATTGAAATGTTAAAAATTAAACTATTTACAAAATATTATTCTAGACGATGATGTAAGGAAACATTTGGAAAAACTTAGTCAAAAAGAGAGTCTAATTTTGCCTGTCGCTGTTTACAGCCTATTAGAATTCAAAACAAACATAGTCATAGAGATATTTGTAAAATCGCAGAGCAACTTTCTCTTCCAGATGTTTCTTCAATGCGATTGTCCGACGAATGGAATCTTTTGAAATTAGAGAAACTATCAGAATTTAAAAAATCAGAAAGAATCGATCACTATTGGCAAGCAAATATTTTTGACAAAACAAGCTTTAATAATGATATTAAATATCCGTTAGTTACTAAAGTTGTTAAAGCTTGCTTGTCTTTGTCTCACGGAAACTCAGATGTGGAAAGAGGATTCTCCAAATCGAAGCTGACTTTAACTAAGGATAAGACTAATATGTCTAAAACGAACTTTAAATGCTCGATTATTAACTCATGATTCCACAAAAAAGTTTAAAGGTAGACTTCACTTACTTCCAATAACAAATAATTTATTAACTATGGCTCGAAGAGCGCGTCAATCTTATATGGAGTTTTTAGATAATGAAAAGAAAAAAAAGAAACATTGAATCTGAAAAGGAAAAAAAGCAGAGGATCGAACAGGAAAAAAAAATCTGAAAAATGTAAAACAACTAAATAAAAATGTGAAAAAACTTGAATTGAATTTGAAAGACTTAAAAAAACAAACTAATTTGACGAAAAAATCTGCGGATTCTTTAATGATAAAAGCAAAAACTCAATTGGATGAAGCATTGAAAAAAAACGATCTTCAAGCAGCTCATATTGCGAGTGGAATGATGGTAGCAGCAGAAAGTCTAAGAAAAAAAGAGAGAACTAAAGAGGACGAAATTTTAAAACTAAACACAGAAATTGAACGAAAAAAGAACGAAGCTCTTAATAAATTATTACAAAAAAAAGTTAAAAAATAAGCCGGTTCAAGAAGAAGAGCAAAATAGAATCCATTCAAAAAGTAAAATATTAAAAAAGAGGTTCAAAAATCTACCAAAAAAGAAACGTCTAAAATCAAGAGTAAAAGTTCATCCACCATTCTTTTAAATGAAATTCGAGTCGAAGCTGTCAACGTAAATAAGGAAATTAGTATAAGTTCAATAAGAAATTCTGTAAAAAAATCAAATTCGCATTTAAAATCTTCTTCTACAGAGACTTCTACAGAATCGAATCGCAAAAGAAAAACAAATTCAATTAATAACATTCCTGCAAAAAAACAAAGAAAGTCTACAATGGCAAAATGCGATTTTGTTCAAAAAAACTCTACGATTATTAATTATGAGAAAATTCCAATGGAAAACTTATTATAAATGTTGTTAAAAATATACTTTAAAAAATTGTTGAAGTTAAAAATTTAAGATCATTACAAGACCAAAATATTGCTAATGTTTAAAAATATGTAAAAAGCTGAAAGGTTTAAAGTATTTATTAAAACTGTAAACTTGTACGAGAACTGTTTGTAAGATAGCCACAAATTTTTTAATATTAGAAATAGTTTTTTTAATGAAAAATATATTGTAGCTATAGAAAACTTAAGTTAAAGTAGCTAGTTATGTATGGGAGTCATAAATATTACTTTATTGGATACTTTTGTTATAAATGTTCTAACTATACATAAAATATGAATCGATAATAAAAAAATTCTCAAAACCTGAAGACTAATTCGAAACCAAAATATAAGTGTCCAAAATATTTAAATGGAAAATATAAGTTTTTAATTATTAGTAAATTATTTAATTTTACTAAGTTAAAATCAAGTTGTGACTATGTAAATAGTTAAACTATTTAATATGTTAATTATAGGTGAATATAAACATTAATATAAAACCAAAATATTGTGTAAAAGTTTGTAATATGTTGAAGTAAAACCAAAATATTATTGTTGAAAAAGATAATTATGTAAAACAGAAAAAAGGTTGTAGTTAATATATAATTATAAAAATAATAACAATAATACGTTTTATAACAAAAAAAATGATTGCATTATCTAATAATATTGACGTGAAACTTAAAGTTTGACTATTTTACTAAATTAAATGTAAAGTGATATCTGTTTTCTTATTAAAATATAAGATATTAGTACAAAAAAACTGATTTTTCACACTATTTACTTTACTACTTTTTCCTACTATTTTAATCTTTTAAATGCTACTTTTTCCTACTATTTCAACCTCTAAAGCTACTTTTTCCTACTATTTTTGAAGTCAGAAAAGAGTGAGAAGCCTGAATATGCCGTCTTTGAAGTCACTTTGTTATGTATTTTTTGAGTTGTAGAGTGCGAAAGAATTTTAAACAATTATCAAATTTTCTCATTTTTGTCTCTTGAATTCAACATTTTCAAAAATCTACAAAAATTTAGTTAAATTTTTTTTAAAAACACAGAAACCCTCGTTAGAATTCCAGCATTAAAATAAGCCTTAGAAAATTAAAAAATGTTAATCCGTAATCGATTTATCATTAAAAATGTGAAGCCGTGTTGTGACCGATTGTGACATCAAAGACGGCTTATTTTACTATTTGTATCTCCTTTCATTTTCGAGATATGATTAAAAAAGTGATGACATGTTTTTTCATAGAGTCGCGTGTTATCGCGCTGATACTTGTGGACGGTAGTGTATAAAGTAATAAACATTTAATTTTTAAATTTTAGTGTGAGCCGGGACTTGGAGCCTCTGTCATGTACAATCTTCTTTATAACAAGCCACAAAAGTTAATGTTGTTAGCAGGTTGTAGTACAGTTTGTACAACTGTTGCAGAAGCTGCGAAAATGTGGAATTTAGTTGTTGTAAGTATTAATTAAACCAATTTTGCAGTGCCATGTGCGCATTTTCTTTTTCTCTTTTCTTCCTAATTTTTAGAAACAGAAAAATAATATTATATTTTATATTACATCAAACCCCTTTAGAGTCCTGTTCTTCTCCAGAAGTCCAGTGTCTCTTCTATCGTTATGTTGATCACCTGCTTAATGTCAATAATTGCTTGACCCCAGCTAGAAAGCCTGATCCTAGTTAACGCTGGGTATTCAGATAATATGAGTCGAAGTTTCGTTACTCGCCTCACACAATCTGCACATAGGCGAAACTTGTCTACCTTTTTTATGCTGATGGTAATTCAATAGTCCATGACCTGTAAGCAGGCGAACTACGGTTCTAACTCTCATCTTATCGAGTTTTAGGAGATCGCTCACTAGCCTCTTGTTAAGAACTAGCCCCAACAAAGTCTTCGCTTGCCTTCCCACCCCAATGCTCACCCAATAAATTTCATGATCCTTTTAACCCCATCTTTCTATAGCTCTATTAACCAAGCACGGCATTAATGCCACTGCTGGTTCATGACCGATAACTATAACACATCTAGTACGCTACGGCATTCCCAGACGAGTTTTGATTCTATTGTGAGATTTTTCAGAGCCCTAATGCCACCTGACTATCTACACAAATACTAATCCTCTTGCCATTTGTTCCTTTTAAAATGGACATTTGGGAACACATACCTTAAAATCGCACAGACCTCGGCCTGACAGACCGTGGCATATTATCCTAGTGACATTTTATGCAGCCAGTTTTTCGATAGATTCCGAAGCCTGCACCGCAGTCCACTTTGGAGCCGTCTGTATACCAGACTTCGTCCCTAAGTGGAAAACCCTTCTTCTAGTCAGTTCTGGAATGTATAATGAACTTAAAGCGGGTTTTAATTTCACCCTCTTGATAATTCTATCTTGCACCATACTTAATTCTGGGATTGATAGAATTGAGGTTAGAAGCTTGGTGTGTTCACCGAAAAAATTCCACCTTTCCTGCACGGTTAGGTGCTTCGGTTAGTACGAATTCCAACGCAGCTGTTGGCGTGGTCCTTATAGCCCCCGTAATGCCCCTGAAAACCATTACTTCGATGGGTGTTACGAAAAAAACACTATTCACCTTCGTGAACAAGAATAACACAATTTAGCTTTGGGTCGAAAAAAATACTATTAACTTTTTGGGGACGAAAAAAAATACTTCTGACCTATGTGGAAGAATAAAAACTCTCCTATCTTCTTCGGGAAGAAAAAAAACAGTTCTGACTTCTTTGGGTCGAACAAAAACGCTTTTGACTTCTACTGGGCGAATAAAAACACTATTGGTTTTTTTAAAGCGAAGAAAAACGTAGTTGACTTCTCGTGGGCGAAAATAAACTCTCTTACTAATTAATATATGTTAATATATATATATATATATATATATATATGTGTATGTTTTTGTTCATAAACGATTTCACGATTGTTACTATTTTCACGTATTACTATGACAACGAACTGTTATATTAATCAAAACAAGCATTTTTTGTTATTTTGGAAAAAACGAAAATTTTCGAAAAATATAATTATAATGGGCTTAGGGGGTTAAGTGTGCAAAAACTGCCCCCGCATCTATTTTTCTCAAATTTGGCCCATATATTACTATTCATATGACTATAACTTTCTGCAATTTTGAATTCAAAATTCGCTTTTTTGGGGAAGTTATGGAGGGGGAAAGCAAAATCAAAAAACTTATTTTTCTTGAAAACTACTAAACCGATTTTAATGAAATTTTAAGAGGTATACGGTAATGCACATATACATAATGGGCAATTTCATGTGATAGGGTATAGCCAAATAAGTATGGAAAAAGTGACCCGAATATATTTTTCCCATTCATTCCTACCCACTTAAAAATAACAAAAAAAAATCGAAAAACACATTTTTCTCAAAAACTACTGTATGCATTTTAATCAGCTTTGGATATGTTGAAAAGACAATTAAAGAGATTCCAAAAAAAATTTCAAATTATTTTTTCAAAAAATTCCAAAAATTTTTTTTTTGAAAATTTCAAATTAAAATTTTTTTGAAATTTTCAAAAAAAAATTTGTTTAAATCTATTAAAGTGAAATTTTCATGTATTTTCTCATTTCATTCTCTTATGTCATCTACTTAATAAAAAAATTTTGCTTGACATGATTTCAGGGTGTGTAACGGTAAATAACTCAAAAACCATACCCAGTACATTTTTATGTTGTATGTAAATGGTTAATTTTAAAAAACCTGTCAAATATTTTTGCAACTTATTACTAGTGGGTTATTGAGGTTGCTAAATACAAATCTAATGTTACTATAAAAAATATTTTTAGACAAACAAAAAAATTTGGAAAATTTTAAAATCAAATTTTAGGATTTTTTGAGTTTTTTTCACCGTGTCGCACTCTAAAATCATCTAGGCAATTATTCTTTGATAAGTAAGACTGTTAAAAAAGTTAAATAAAAAAGTGTTATGTACCGCTTCAACGATCAAAAAAGAAAAAAATTTTAAATGCCAAAATAAAAATTTTTGGATTTTTCTTTGGAAATATTTTTTTTTAATATCGATTTCAGACTTGTATTTAGAAAACCCCTAAGTATTAATTTGGGATTAAACAAATAATTAATTAATTAACCATTTACATACAACATAAAAATGTACCGGGTATGGTTTTTGAGTTATTTACCGTGACACACCCTGAAATCATGTCAAGCAAAATTGTTTTATTAAGTAGATGACATAAGAGAATGAAATGAGAAAATACATAAAAATTTCACTTTAATAGATTTAAACAAATTTTTTTCTGAAAATTTCAAAAAAAATTTAATTTGAAATTTTCAAAAAAAAAATTTTTGGAATTTTTTGAAAAAATAATTTGAAATTTTTTTTGGAATCTCTTTAATTGTCTTTTCAATATATCCAAAGCTGATTAAAATGCCTACAGTAGTTTTTGAGCAAAATGCGTTTTTCGATTTTTTCCTCTCCATAAGTTCCAAAAAACTCAAAATTTTGAGTTAAAAATTTCAAAAAGTTATTTTTAAGTGGGTAGGAATGAATGGAAAAAATATATTCGGGTCACTTTTTCCATACTTATTTGGCTATACCCTATCACATGAAATTGCCCATTATGTATATGTGCATTACCGTATACGTGACAAATAGCATGACCATGGTTTTTGACATTTTACTCAAAAACTATATTTTTAAAAAATTTGGAAAAAATATATGTTAAAGGGGACATTATAAGGTACTTTTTACTGGTCACTTCAAAAAATAACCCTAAAAAAATTTTTGAAAATTTCAAAAAAATTTTTGAAAATTTCAAAAATTTTTTTTGAAAATTTTTTTTTCTAAAATCGTCTTATCTATATCTACAACCTCTTAAAATTTCATTAAAATCGGTTTAGTAGTTTTCGAGAAAAATAAGTTTTTTGATTTTGCTTTCCCCCTCCATAACTCCCCCAAAAAAGCGAATTTTGAGTTCAAAATTGCAGAAAGTTATAGTCATATGGATAGTAATATATGGGCCAAATTTGAGAAAAATAGATGCGGGGGCAGTTTTTGCACACTTAACCCCCTAAGCCCTTTCAAAAAATATAGAAACGGAAGAAATCGAACAAAGTGATACTTCTGCAGACGGTATTTTGTGCACCAAATAGCTTTTTTTATTTAAAGATTTATTTAAATTCAGAATTAAAAGAATAAAGAAACTCAACTTTTGATATAGGGAAGAGTAGGCTACATTGAACCAGCGTCAACAGTTAACCACTTCAATTTTCTGAGAAATGACTGAGTGCAATTTTTTCTTATTCAATATATAAGTTAGTATTACCGAAACAGACTATGTCCAAAAATTTACGGCAAGTAGGTTAATTGTTTGCAAAGAAAAACTAAAAAAACTGTTTTTCACGTACAAAACAAAAAATTTGGTGGAATTATAATGACGTTCTTTTTTTGAAATAGGAAGTTTTAAAAATTAGTAAACTTTTGATTTATTTTGCTTAGGGTCTCAACTTCAATATTCCGATGTGATACAGAATTTTAAGTCTTACATTAATTTATTATAAACAATTTTTGTTGTGAATGTCATGTGATAACAGTGAGTGCGGCATCATTGAAACACACCTTCTGAAGGTTTCCTATAAATTTGGCAATGAAAAAATTTTTTTTGTCTTAGTTATAGTCATTGAAAGTCGTGCACACAATAACTCCCCGGATGGGGCTATTTTGTGCATCGAACTTTGTTTTTATATAATGTTGCGTAAACATTTTTTTTAATCGTTTCTGCTTCATGAAATCTTTTGTGTATATATTTGAGAGTAAATTAAAAAAAGAATGACCTAGTAAAATTTTTTTTGTAGATATATTATACAAAAAATGTAAAATAAATCACTAAAATTTTGCTAAAATCTGGATTTACTAAAAATTAACAATCTTTCTTTAAATTGTATATTACGCAGATAGTAAAAAATATATTTTTTTTAAATATATATTTCATAATAATATACTAATATAATTATAAAATGATTGTTTAAACACTTATAAATAACTTTGAAACATCATTTCAATAGGAGCTTTTTTAATGGTTTTGAATGATATTTTTAAAAAACTTGAAATAAATATTTTTAAGGTTAAATAGATAACAATTTAATATCTAATATGCTTTTCAAGTTATTTTAAGAGAAACGAGAAAATAGTTTTAAAACTAATTTGAAAAACTTATAAATATTAATTAATGTTCATTTTTTGAGGTTACGTTGTGCACCGGTTGAGCTTTTAATCGTTTTAATGATTTTAATTAACGTATTTACAGTTTTTTGACAGAAAAGTAAGACAAAAATGTATAAAAATGATAAACAGAATCTTCTTTACTTATTAAATAAAACATTTATGAAAAATATTTGATTTTTTTAAGTGCACAAAATAGCCCCATGGAATCCTGGTTTTTCAGTTTTTCCACTTTTCTCTTAAA